GTATGCGCTTTGCGCTTGGTTGCACGATACGTCGCGTCGCGCTCGCTCGAATGTGACGCACTCACCTCTTTGCTTTTCTTGCTCCTCTGCCCAATCTGCCAAGGCGATGACGTGCTCATCTTCCGGCACCTCCCATTGTGGCATGTCGAGAGATCTGACCCACTCCATATCAGACTCTTTCAGATCCGCATAGATGATAGCCTGAGCAGGCTTGATCAGCGCATCTCTCTGTACCCTCTCCATCTTTTGATCGAAAAAGAGCACTCCCACTCCGAGTGCCCAAAGAGCCGATTGATGAAAGAATAGTTGAATGGGGGGTTGGGAGAAGAGAGCTACGAGACGGTTGGAATCTTGCAGAGTGGATACGAGGGGTGCATAGCGTGCCGCCAAGTGCGCCACAATGCGCGATCCCTGAGCAAAAGTGACGGGCGATCGAACGCTGCTGCTGGAACGATTTGAGCTGCAGTCGTGTGCACCAGAGTCATCGCAGTGGGAGGGATTGTCATTGTCGCTCTTGGCGGGTGGAAAGGCAAAGTATGCTAGAGGAGCAGAAGGATGCGCGGCAGCACCTCGCTCGATCACCCGCAACACCTCAATGTCCTCCTCCACCGTCTCCCTCAATGCTCCGTAGCTGGGCAACCTGGCTCCGGGCGAGCGAATAGCAAATGGGTTGTACATCTTTGCCATTCTGCTTGTATTTCCTGTGCAGTCCTGGAGATTTGCTCGTCGCGATGCAAGCCTGGCGAAAGGGATGGGCAGGGGGTTATGAGTGTGACGATCGAGCAAGGGATTGTCGGGAGGAGGAGGAGGAGGGGGTTCTGATTGATTGCACCCAGCAGCAGTGCGAAGCTTCGCATAGAGCTGGCGCGAGAGGCTGTGCCGTTGTGACCTCGGTGCAGGCAGACTATGCGCATAAGAGCAAGCGAAGCAAGTCGAGCCGAGCCGAGCAACACACACGCACTCCTTCCATATATCCGGCGCTAATTTCCTGCCAAGCGGTCCCCTCCATCTCATACAGTCACGAGTAGGCATTACGCATAACCCGCACTCGTGACTTGTACCCGCACAGCGCAACGAGTCGCTGAACCCATGCAGTCGTCATTCCGCCATTCGTGATTTGTGATTCGCAATTCGACTCCATTCTCGAGCTCTGCAGCTTCTGGCCTCACACACAGCCTTGGCAGTAGAAGTAAAGATCGCTACACCGCTTTGCTCGTGTACATCGTGTCCCAATCGACAGGTGAATGAATGAATGCATGTCGATGCAAACACATCGAGCAAAAAGTGACGAGTCATGAGCGAGCGCTAAAGGAGAAAGTCGCGAATGAAGCATATATATGCATGCATGCGCCCATACAGGTGGAGGAGCATGCAGACAGGAGAGAGAGAGAGAGAGAGAGAGAGAAGGGAGAGGGAGAGAGA